CCCCCCCAGCTTAGGTATACATAAGTGCTGTTTCACGTTTTTAAGCAGCATTGACCAATATGAGATTCTGTTGTACTATTTTTCCTGTTCTTTTCACAGTGGGAGCCGTCTAGGAGGCCTTGTTACCGTGATGTGTTTCTTTTTCAACCATGGAGAGGTAGGTCTCCCTTCCCAACACCCACCGCCCCACCATTTTTTTTATTTTTTTAAGTTTAAACTAATTCTCATTTCATTAAATATAGTGACATCGCTTATCTATTAGGGCATGAATTTAAAGGGAATAAGGTATTATTGAAGGCAAAATAGGCTATGACTCAAAAATATGTAGCACAGTCCAATGTGTCACCTTAGATGTTAAAAAAAGAATAATTCAGAAGGGGAAATATATTGTAAAGTGGTCCTGAGATTGCAATCTTTGTAGCACAATGACTTCAAGTTTCAAAACATCAAAATATTCTATTTTTGTGCCCATTGCACGTATAACTGGGCTACATGTACCATATGAACAAGCTTCAGAAATTACGGAGGTTTTCTTTAAATTGTTATGTATTTTACCGGAAATTCATAAATACACACACACACACACACAAATTTAGAAATTGTATATGTACATAGAGGATTCCAGTGCTAAACTTCTTTAGTAAGCTGCATTACAGAGAAAAGAAAAAAAAAAAAAGAAACTGTCACTTAAAACATCTCCCTGTGTCGCCAGCTAATGCTGGTTATGTCATTGTTTCATATTTTGGAAGAAAACTCATGGCTTTTATTCTGGTACCCTTGGGCAGTATTTTGGGGGTTTTTAATGTTATTTTATGTATATAAATTAATATAAATACTTGTTTTAATTTACTTAAAATGCAGCTGTACTTTAAAGATTTTCTAGATGGAACTGCTACCTTATGATCTTGTTAAGGGTTGAAGTTATGTATTTGTTTAGTTTTCTTATTTTAGTAAGCTGAACTTGATAGAAAACTCTTGAGTAGTAAGAATACGTAGTTGCACGTAACAGATTCAAAGATGCTTCTATTCATAGTGAGCTTTGACAATTTTCTTATAAACCAAAAATCTTTGTGATTAAATAGCTATTTTATTTTTAAGTTTAAGTTGAAATGTTTTTCTCTAAATACCCACCATGAAGAGTTTTCACCCATGGACGTTAACTGCCTGGTCCAGACCAGGTAAATGTTAGAGTTTCTAAATGGTTTTGGTGCTATTAGAGTGTAGATACAAAGTTTTGCGGGGGTTTCCATTCCTCTTAATGGGATTCTGAAGTGAATGTTTTATCCTTTGCTAGGAAATCCTGGTAGAGTGCACGCTGTTTTGCCAAGTCTGTGATAAAGTGTGTCTTCAGAAAGGACCAAGTTGAAAACTTCAAAGATAGTGGTAGCAATAATGAAAAGAAGCATTTATTTCACTATGGCACAGGCAGTTCTATCCGCAGGAGTTTCTGTAGGAGCCATCCATCTCTTTATGGATGATTTGACTTTGGGGGTAAAAACCACATAATGTGTGTATTTTGGAGAATGGCATGAAATTAGGTCTGCATAGCTCTACACAGACGTAGTCTGTGCTTAGTTAGAGCTAAAGTAGAGCGAGCCTGATTCAGGCTCAGCTGTATGGATTTCTGGAGAGCAATAGGACTCACTTGCAGAGGTGCAAGAGTGCAGATCTCAGCTGGCGCTTTGCGTTTGTGCTGTACCTAACAAAATAACTCAGAGTTGTTTGATATTGTTGTGTATATAGAGTTATGGTAATATATGTACTTACATGTATGTAGGTGGTCTAGCTTCACTGTGTGTACTGTTGAATCATGTGTGAGGGGTGTGCATGCACATGTGTGTATAAAAAACCTATTTTATTTAACTCTTCGATATGCCTTTGATTCTGCGGAAGTCATCTTACGTGTGGTTCAACAGTACGTACAGCGGAGCTAGACCAGTTGCTAAAAATTTGTTTTCCTCTTCTGGAAGGATAGGACTGAACTACGTGAGTAAGCCTGATCTGCAAGTCTTGGGATTTCAGATCTAATGCTGTGTAAAAGTGGTTAGCCTTCTGGCACTGAGCTGATGATCCCAAGGCAGGATGGTTTTTTTTGTGCTGTGCTTGTGCTACTGCGTTTCAATGATTTCAAGCTTAGACAGATCTGATGTATTTATACCTGCAGCAAAGTTAGTTTACAGCCTTGATAAATCATCCACAGATGACTGAGTTTAGTATTACATTCCAAATATAGAAAAATAGCATGAGCTACATTAGTCAATCCACTTTTAAGGTAATGCTTCCTTTTTATGGTTGTATATGCTCATCACTTCTTTCCTGTCTTTATCTCCTCAGGTATCAAAAGATTTGATAAATCAAATGTTACTGTAGTCTTGAAAAATAATCAGAAAGACTACACTGCTTTAGAATAATCATGATTATATTTATTACTAATAAAAATAATTTTAACTAATCACATCTCTGCAGTCAACAGAAGACAACACATTAGTATTTATACATTTATGAAAGGTTTATTTTAGTGGGAATCAGGGTGCAGCTTTTACAGAGAGTGCTTTTAGACAGCAAGGACTGTGTTTGATTAATGTGATGGGATCCGTACTTTGCATTTATTTTACACTGTTTCTACACATTTATTTTACCCTATTAATTTAACATATTTGTGAAATAGCAAGACAATAAGCAAGGAATTGTATAATGTTGATTCTAGTGACTTCTGTGGTAAAATAGTATTTTAAAAAATGGTTTTAAGATTATAGGCAACAAAGGGGAAGGAACATCCTGGCATCAACATTCTATAAGTTTTCATAGATTCGTTAGGTTCATGTTAAGATGAACTGCATTTTTGTCCTGTAGTTGTAAGGAACCTACTTCTAATTTTTAGTGCAAGTCTGTTCATAGCCATTTTGAACCTGTTTGTTTCTATGTCAGACTTGTTCTGTATAGTTGTAATTATTTTTTTGATGGTCGGTACCGTCTGCAAGCACTTTATAAAGAGCTGAATATAAACATTGGAGATGACGGTTATAGCTAGGCCATTTGCCACGAGCCCCAAGAAGTTAATGAAAAAGCTATTCATTTGACTTCATCGTATTATGCTTTGCTTTACTATGGTTAAAGAACAAAGTATGTACGTTAGTATAAGCTCTGTAAGAGCTTGATTTCATGTGTGCAATTTTACTGACCTGTTTTGGAGGGCAGCTTCAGATTTTACACTTTCTGTGCTGTTGCTAGTAGAAATGTGAAATGTTTATAACCTAGAGAACTCTAGCATAATGAAGACTGTGTTGGTTTATCCTCCTGATCCTCTCACCACACACTTTGTGTATACAAGTGTGGCAAGTCACTGCCTGAATTTGAGAATGATTTTAGTTACCTGAATGAGTTGTTAATTTCAGCGGAAGCAGAGACGAGCAGCTGCTGTCCTGGCTTTTTTCTTGGATGTTCTCTATCTGCCACATTTAATTTTGGAAAAGCAGTGATCTATTTTGATTAAACAGTGCATCATAGACCTCAAGTCTGGAAGGCCTTTCCTTTTTTCTCCCCTTTTCTGCTTCCTGGCTTGCTTTTTTTAAAGTTTGTGCATAAAATCTCATGTAGCTTGGGTTTTGCTTTATTGAAGTATCTGTGAAGTATCATTTATTTTGAAATACAAATGCATTGGTTTATGGAAATGTAGCAGCAAATGTTATCATCTAACCCAGTTCTTATTTTTAGTGCACTCGCGTCATGTGGACTCCACCTCTTCGTGAAAGTTTCTCATACCCATTCCTTGTGCTTCAGATGTTGCTTTTGACCTATATTCTCAGGTACCTCTTGATTTATACTTAGCTCTTTACAATGATTTAAAAAATTGAACATCATAGAACATGTATTTAAATGCATTTATTTAAATATTTATTTAAGTGCCTCTGTGTGCTGTAGCAATGGTATCATTAACATAGAAACTTTCCTGTGGCTGTTACATTGCAGACGCTGCTCCAGTAGAACTGCAGTCATATTACTCACTTATTAAAAGGAAAAACTTTGCAACTTGGAGACACAATTAAAATAAAAATCAGAATTACTCTGTTGGCAAATACGTATGAAACTAAAAAATCAGAATTTTTTGGTTGATGTCACTTCCTTCCCATGAGAAACACACTGATACTCCATCAATTGGTTTTGTCCCTCATGGAGAGTGGTGTGTTTGTTGCACTTGGAATAAGCCTATGCTATGCAGCAGAGGATGCTATAGGCACCCATAAGCTAGTATGTTCTTGCAGTTTTTTATGACTAATTAACTAGTCTAATTAACTAGTTCAATGATTTAGAGCAATCTAATTACGTTAATGCAGGGATGCTCTTGAGTTCATTAGCCCTGCTTTTCCTTGGTTTTTTTTCTGGCTTCCAACATGGTTGTGTTACTGTCTTGCCTCTGTTTTGAAAAATAAGCATGGTTGTTAATACTTGAGGGCTTTTCCATCAACTTTGTTGCATCAGATTTGCAGTGTATTTATGATTTAGCTGAACCTTGTACTTGTAACCCCAGATTTTCTTTTATTAGGTCATACTGACTTGTAGTTATTGGTGATGAAACCAAAAATATTTCATGCTTATCATGAACTTGTGGTTTTTAGGTGCGGAAAAGATACATGCTCTCTCGAAAAATATTTTGAGGAATAGTTTGTAGAGTCATTGCTAGATTTCATATTAGAAAGACACCTGTTCATTTAATGCTAAATTGTGAGGTCAAATGAAAAATTAGGAAATTTCACTTTAAGTTAGAGTGATCAGAGCACATATATTCTGTACCTATGATTATGACACTTCTTGATTAGAGAGATTCAATCCTGTTCTTCAAATCTTGGTACACAAAATAGTACTTGGGCTTGTCTACCAATGAGAAGTAGGTGTTTAATCTAAGCATTTCAGAGGGAGGTTCCAAAAAGGGGAGAAAACATTTTAACTTTATTTTCAGTTATAATTCCTGCTTCAAGAGCAGCTCTGTTTTATGTATAGCAATATTCGAATGAAATATAGGAACTATCTTTGAAGCAGAGACTAGAACTGAAATTCTCCATTATTTGTATGACTTGTATCACATTTGTATAACGTATTACTTAATACATTGGACTCATGCTCAGCATGACTTCCAACAGAAGTTAATCTTGAGGCTTTGTAAAAGAAGCTGAAGAAAATTTTACAGAATTTGGTGAGACTGCTGTAGTCTGTTGGGTTTGGGTTTTACAGCAGAATATTTATGGTGCCTTCATTTTGTTGGAGGCCACTTATTGAAATCTGAAACACGATGTGTTTCTGAAGTGAACTAGAGACTAACACAGGATTAAATAAATAACACTTATAGCAGGACACGGAGAATAGGCTGTTTTCAGTTCAAGATGAGTTTCGTGTATTTGTCATTGTCTCCTGCGCTGAAACCTCACTCAGGACTGCTAGCAGAAAGTTGCAGAGGGTAATTATGGAAGAAATGTGAGAGAGGAGTGAAATCACTTTCAAATGGAGATTCTTCTGAGAATAATTGTGCTCCCAGCCAAAATGGAAATGGTTGAGACCTGACTGTAGAGTTGTTACAAGAAGGTGAACCACTGCAAGTGACATAGGTTGGCATGCTATGTTACTTGCTGCCAGGAGAAGACTTGTTTGGTAATGAGTGACTCATCAAATGGTTAAACATTAGGTATCAGAACTGCTGTTTTTGGAAACTGATGGAAAATAGATACTAAATTTACTTAAGCAGTGTTATCTGTAGTTGATCAATATTGCTGGATAACTTCCAAGGTAACTTTGTTGTTATTGCATTCTCTATTGTACTTCTCAATAATGTGCAAACACCTGTGTAATTTTACTTACTGATGCCTATTCTGTCTCTCTTTCCCAAGGATTCCGAATATTAATACAGGAAGCTTGATTGCACTGTGTGTTTCTAATATCTTTTTCATGCTTCCCTGGCAGTTTGCTCAGTTTGTTCTTCTAACGCAGGTAAGACCATACCTCTAAAATAGCCTCTTTGTCTTATCTAGGCAAATTGACTGCTTTGTATAGACGGCCATTGAATTCACAACTATACCAATCTTTTCTTTTTATCCAGATTTCACTCTTGCTGTCAGGAAAGATTCACACCATTTATCACATCAATATTTTTCTAGTCTTAAATTTAAAAGTTGACCATTTACACCACTTAGTCTTCTGTTTCTAGAACTAAAAACTTTACTTTTCTCTTAAAAGCAGCCTCCAGCCCAAGATCAGTACATTAGAACAAGTGCAGCAGAAAAAACTTTGTATATTGAAGTACAAAACTAAAAAAGGCATTGATCTTGCATCTCTTTAGGCTATTCCATATTTTTAAATGGAGCAATGTTTGCATGGCATGTAATATCTGGCATGATTTTGCATGATTTCCTATGTAATTTTGATGAGCCTGTGAGTAGTGGCATAATCTTACTGTCTTGAGAGTGTGGGCAGTTGAGGTAACTTTAGCTAGAGTTGAAATACAGTAAATGCTACTATGAGCAATAGGATACTGTCATACAGCATACTTAGTGTTTAAATTGGTTGAAATGTAGCCTGTTGATTGAAATCCATCTGTGTCTCCATACCTTTTCACTTGTCTGTCCTACTTGAAGCAGATATTGCTTGGTTTGAGTTTCTAGTTTTGAACAGTCAATGTATGCTGTGGCATGCAAATTTTCTAACCGGAGAAGAGGAAGCCATTAAATTCTGTAAAATGTTGTGAGAAACTCCTCGGTGTAACCTGTTTAAGATGCTGGGCCTGAAATTTGAAATTACAGTTTCAATTCATAATTTCATTAATTTCCCATGTGACTTTTAGCAAGCTGCCAGATCAATGAATCTCATTTTCCTCAGCGGTAAATTATGGATGTTCCCATACTTCACTGAAAAATTAAGGCTAAATAGTGATTTTTTGGTTTGTTTTAAAAATACAAGGTGAAAGGTGATGTCAGTGCTGTGTTTTGATGACTTGTATTTTTGTAAAGCTGAATACTTCTTAAATATTCAAATATATTTGATAATTGTTACTCAGAGCACTGCAACGGGTTTTTTGAAAGAAACCGTTATGAAATGCCTAAGTATTTACTTAGCAAAAAAGTAGCAATAAAATTTAGTTTATGATTGTTTCAATAATCACTTTTTGGTATTAATGTGTATTCTGCTAGAAAGAGTACACCACTGCATATTGTTTTAACTTATCTTTCACTTTTGATTCTAGATAGCTTCATTATTTGCTGTGTGTATTATGGGTTATATTGACTCCTGCAAATTACAGAAGATACTGTCTGCTCATATGGTAATACTTTTTTTTTTAAAAAAAACTTAAATCCCCTCAAACGGGTCAGAGCATCGAAAGAGGCCATTTGTCTGTAGTGTTTTCCTTAGTTGCAAGATGGTTGAAAAGATGCAATAATAAGGGATGGAAGGGCCTGGATTTGAATATTTGATCTTACGTATATTTATATCACAGTGTCAGAAACTAGGATCCCTCTGGCACACAGGAATTTTTGAACTCCAGAAAGATTACCAACCTAAGAGATTTGTAGAAATATTTGCCTCTCCTTTCTGTCTCTACTCATTCCATGGGCTTGAAGATACTGTCTCAAACGACAGTCTAGAAAACATACCAAGTATTTGAGCATGAGCAATAGAAAGTTGAAAAGGCAGCATTCATCTCATGCCATAGGTTAGTAGAAACAAAAAAATGAGGTATTAGTAAGTCAAAAGTTACAGTTAGTAAGCCTTTATTACTGAAGGAGAACCCCAATTGAAATCAGGTTTTGAAGACTACTGTAGTGTTGACCATGCAAAAATGCTGTGATTGAACTACGTGGAGAAGATAGTTAGAAAGGAAGGCGAAGAAAAGAAACTATTAATCTGAGGAAAAACTCTTTTTTCAAAAATGGTTGGGAAAGTCAACAAAGGAAGGAGATGATTAAAAAAAGGCATGTAAGTTTCTGCATAATATATCTGTTTTTCATTTTTAAAGTTAAGATAATGATCAATTTTTTTACCAGGAGTTTTGCTTTTTGAAGTGAGATTATAGTTTTAAATATACAGGAAGACGTGAACAACTTTTTTGAAGAAATGCGGTTGTCTTTAAAAATATTTTTTTGCTAAAATTGTGCTATGCAAACTCAGTGGGCAAAAAGAGAATGTTTACCACAGGAAAAAGAGGCTTTGAACTAAATTGTATTTCATGTTTTCAAACATAATTTGAAATACTGTAACTGATAAATTAAAGGCAGTAATAAGTTCTATGCAACTCATTTCTGATGTAAACCTGGGACACCAAGTGCTGTTCCCAGTCAGATTTACCAGGAAAATTTGCAAATAAGCATCTTGGTTTAATAATATTTTTGGGAGAAGCAGGATGACATACTTCATTCAGCCTTTTGGCTTATGTCAATAGCTGTATCAAAGTTTTGGTGCCAAAGTGTCGTAAAAAGCCTATTTTCAGATAGATGAACAATCATGTTATATTACAGAGAGAGCGTATGAGGCTGAGTAAACTTCCAGTCTTTATTTTGTGGTGTTTTCAATTTTTGGTTCCCCCCTGGCTTTTCTGTGGAAAAGGAAAGTCTAACTATGTGAGGTGGGGAGTACAAAAGTCTGCATATTTTACAAATAACTACGTTATTTTTCTTTATTCCTGTGTATAGAAGAAGGCAGAGAATGAGCATTGATTTTGCTCTCCAAGTTAGAAAATGTAATTCAGCTTGCTTTCTATTAAAAAGAAAGCACAGTAGGAGACCAGGATGGCTGATAAAAGTTGTATTTCAACCTTGTCTTTCAGCCTCATGTGGTTAAATACGTATGATCAAACAGTCAGAGTTCTGCTTCCTTGACTTTGGTGGTGATTATATTTTAAATATACGCTTCTCAGTTTGGAAGAAAGAAGACAACAAACATTTTATTCAACATTCTTGTGTTTGTCCAGGATTCTGAAAGATAAGAAATAGGACGGAGAAATAATACAACAATTTGAAAAAAATTATTGTTAGGAATAGCTTCAAAAGTGTAGCTGGTATATCATGTAAGATGAGTTAGTCCTATGATCAAGTCTTTTGTCTATAGGTACTTTTAAAATATAAATTATCATAATAATCTACACTTGGTTACCTGATGCTGTTAAGTCATATAACCAGTGATTGATTTTATTATCCATATAATCTTATAATCAGTATTTTCAGAACAATTCTGTAAGCTGAGTTTGCACTCGCTGCGAAGTAGATGTCTTTAAATTTAAAAGCTGTTGATAGAAGGTAATTTCTATACTTGGGCAATTCTTTCCGTTTCTATTTTAAATTTAATTATTTTTATTTTCTTCTTTCAGGTATCTCTTGTAGTGTGTTTTATTCTGATGTTTGGTAATTCAATGTTATTGACATCATATTATGCTGCATCTTTAGTAGTTATCTGGGTAAGTCGTTTAAGAAAAAAAATCGTAAGACCTTAATGTTGTATTGTTATGTATGAATTGATAGACAACGTGAAACTGCTGCATTATCAGATAGTTGAGAAATCTTTCACACGGCAAACAGAATTAGACCTTAAAGATATTTGGAGAACGGGTAAATACTCATTTAGAATTTAAGTTTAAAAATTAAAAAATCATGGTTTTGCACCAAGACCTCTTAATAAAGGAAATTCATTTAAGGCTCAGTTCTTTTGTTTTTATAGCTCTCTTCTGTTTATAAAAATTTAAGATTTAGCACTTACGTATTTTTGACCATAAGAATTGTAAAACAAGAACGTGAGCAAAGAGGAGTTTGATTTAAATGCTTCTGTATTGATTGTGAAACTGCAGATGCAGAACAAATGGCTAAAACATATATGACAATGGTTTTAGACTATTTGAGCCTGCTGAGTCATACTGCTGTGTTAGTGAAATTATTCACTGAAGACTCATCATTTCATCATTCACTATCTTAATTTTTTCTTAAATAGGAAAAACAACCCCCAGCCTTCTTTCAATTTCATACCTTTTCTCTTAAGGGAATTATGTACATAGGAAATAGGAGATAAGATTCTGTGAACAGATCTTGTTTAATATACTACAAGTCATCTCCATTTCTGGTTCTTTTTGCTTCTCCTAGAAGCTTGGGGTGAGCTCAGTGATTATTTTTTTTTTCTTTTGTTTATATTTTGTCCATCAACAAAATCTTATGCTAAGATTAAGATGCCTCGGCTGCTGGTATTTGCTGTAGTATAGGTTGCTTGTTATAAACCCACTGTAGTTTCTTGTAGCAGCTTTTGTAATTATATAGTAAGTACAGGTACATTGAATTTCTTGACTACTTTCTGCTTTGGAAAAAATATTTGTTTGTCTGTTATTTGGGTGCTTATAGTGGCCTCAGTCTTAGCGTCGCATAAGGACTGTGGTTCTGAAAGCTTTTAAGTTAATTCTCAGTTTTTCTTAATTACTTTTTTCATCAAATCAGCTTAAAGTGAGCCTTCTTTTTGTCATAAAATGAGGAACGTAATGTGAAACAGAAAAATACCAGTAACTCCTACCACACTTCGTCTTCTGTTGCCTTGTTTGAAAATTGTTTGTATTATGCTCCTACTAATTTATTTATTGCTTCAGAAGTGTCTTGTTGTTTGTGGAAGCAGACATAATTCAGTTTTCTATCAGTTTTGATTTAAAGAAGCTTAGAACTGTGTCATATAGAATCTTAACTTGTTAAGGAGAAGAGTAGGGTTCCATTAATTTTATATAAACTGCAGTAAGAGTTTTTACGTTGTCGTGTTTTTGCCAGTGCAGGGTGAAATCACAGTATTATGTATACATTTATATTTCAGGTTTTATTAATTATGGAGGGTTTTTTAATAAATCACTGTGTGGTACAATAGGCGCTTACCAAAACAAAAAAAACCCCTCATCCAGGGTTTTGGAATATCTTGCTGTTACTGTGTTACCTGAGAATGTATATTCATTTTTATTATTAGGGAATTCTTGAATTGAGTCCAAAAGTCTTGAAAAGCAGCAGAAGAGAAGTCTGCCTATGGGTAAGGAATAACATATATTTCGACTTTCAGAAGAGAACTATGGCTCTTTTTTTGTTTTAATGAAATACAAAAATAACTTCTGTTTTTGTTTCTAGTAGCTGAAAATAATGAAATATAGCTGAACCACTCTAAGTAAATTGTCCATATTCCCAGAAATTAATCTTAAATTACTGAAGGAAGAAAAGGGGCATAAACATATATTTATATTAGAAAATTGAAATCGCCTTCAAATAGCAACACATTTAATCTTAAATTACTAATTTAAACATGTTTGCTAAACCTAAGATCTGTATGAAAATCCCTTTAAAATAAAGGACAATTTGAAAAAGGCAAGTAAAAAGCTAACAGTGCTTGGAGAAATGGAAATTAAGATACTGCACTAAAATATGTCCTATATAATTTTTTTTTAGGAAATTTTTTATAACAACAGCAAGCAACTTAAAATTACATAACAAGTAAAGGAAGCAAGTCAGAGTGAAACACTGCGTGGTGTGTGGGTGGAGTTTGAGGGCAGTACGAGTCATGTCCAAACATGGAGGACACCTTCAAAACTATGACAAATAAAATATAACATTGTAGTAACCATGAGAGGCAAGTTGCTGCTTAAGACATAACATTAACTTGTAAAAACACCTGAAACGGGAGCCTACCAAGGCTGCGCCTGGCTTAAGACATGCGTTCTTGTTAAATGAAGGTAGCCTGTTAGCCAAACTGGATGGAATTCTTACGGTTATTGTAAAGGAATTAGAATACAAGGGAATAAAAAAATATATTTATTACAAATTGCAGTGCATGTATAACCTGCCAATGCAGTTAGCTGTGCTACCAGGAGAAATGGGAATGTTGGCAAATCCATGTCAGTTTTTAAAAAGGAGATCAAAGGCATTTGTGGAACTGCAGACCAATAAGGCTAACTTTTGTAAAAAAAAATGAAAACATCAACACTGATGAAGTTGTTAAGGCTCTATGTACATGCAATATAATGAGATAGGTGCGATACAGCCTCTGTGAAAGGAAGTCACACCTCGCAAATGTATGACTTCTTTGAAGGATGTAGATAAGGGTGCGTGGGTGAATGTAATGCACTTGAATTTCAGAAACCTTTGGGGGAAGATATCTAACTGGAACTATAAAAGAAAATAAGCTCCATGGGATAAGGTGTGAATGTTAGAAGGTAAGAAGCAAAGGGTGGGATTAAATGGTAAGTTTTCAAAAGAAGACCACCACCACCCTAAATCTGTATATAAAATAATCAATCCTAAATAAGTCCTTGCCACTTAGCAGAGAAATCTTGGTATTCTTATGAAAAGTCCTCTGAACACATCAATTCATTATTGAGCAGGCATCAAAAAGGAAAATACATGATGGAAATCATGAAGAAGGAACTGCAAAGAAGCTGAAAATACTTTTTTATTTTGTAAGCTCATACTTAGCATCCTAAATATATGCACGCAGTCTCAGTCAATGTGTCTTGCTTAAAAAAAAATAAAAAATGCTTTCCCCCCAAATGTACTACCATCAAATTTAAGTAGAGAGAGTATGAAGTTAATTATTAATGTAGAATTGCTAAATAGCTGATATTTTAAAAGAGGTTTGAATTCTACATCTTGTAAGATAAAGGTAAATATGACAAAGCCAGTGAATAGAAGTAGGATATAATTATAGTTTATTTAGTGCCCCTTATGCTAGCAGCAGTAAGCTTGTAAGAGAGAAGAAAGGTACTGTGGAAGCCAAAAAAAAAAAAGAAAGGCATTCAGAAGACGATTAGGTACCTCCTAGGTAGTTAGTTTCATTTGCAGCCATTAAATGGGATGATTGAATGCAACCTGTGGTCACATAAAACCCCTGATTTGTATTTTGTTATATTCTTTCTGAAAGCATCTGCTGCTGGTCCCAGATACAAGATACTGAGCCAGGTTGTCCTATCCAGTTGATCTGGTTTTATAAAGCATTAGACAGATTAAGCTAGATTGCCAAGAATTTAATCTTTCTGGTACAGGCATAAACATGATACGTAACTAAAAGTAGTAATTGTACGTACTTTCTTTATATTTCCTTCAAGTTCTATCTTGAGATTATCTTGAGAAGGTACTATAAATCAGCAAATTCCTCCGCAAAGATTTGAATTACCAGAGTAGTACAACCTGATAATATGGAGAGGCTATGGGTGGGAAATAATCGCTACACACTGGTATATACAAAACTGGTGGAATTGACCGTTAACTTTTTAAAGTTAACTTTGGTACCTCCTCTGCTATAATGATGTCATGTGCAGCAGTGCAGCCGTAATGTAAATCGGTTGCACAAAATTATTTCAGCTGTAACAGAAAATATAAAAAAAAAAAAACCTTAAAACACCCCAGTGCATTGAAATTTGGGAAGTGTAATTGGTTAGAAATTACTGTACTTGTGATAACATGGGAGAGTTTGTAACTTGTAGCTAAATTTTATAAGCCTTTTAAAAAAGAAAAGGTTTCTTTAAACGTTTATTGAGACATGTTTATTTCATTCTGAATATATTTGTTTAAGGTCATCGAAGGATGTGCCTGGTTATTTGGGACAGTCACCTTGAAGTACCTAACTTCTTTAGCGTTTGGAATAGCTGATGATGTAAGTTCTCTTATCTGAGTATAGGCGTGGTGTCTTTCAAAATTTTATAATGCTTAACACTTTGATTTTGGCATCTTACTGGTATACTTTCCTAAAATTCCAAGCTTTGTTTTGCAGAAATGGCAGAGGGATTGCATATTTGCTTTCTCATTCATTATGTATTATCATTTTAAGGTGTTATTACCAAAGTTTGTGAAAAGACAAATGTTTTTACTATTAAGTTAGTAAATGCTCTGTGTGTTTGTTTTTAAATGTGGATTTATAGATCTTTGTTTATTTTGGATATATTCTATCAGCATATTTTCCTTATTTACTCAATTTCTTAGTTCACTTTCCTCTGAAACTAGTTTTTAAGACAGTTTTGAAAGGCTTATTGTAACTAGGACTCCTCGCTTCACTTCAGCCCCTTTATTGTCAGGTTCTACTGTTAAAAACCTATCTGCAGATGTGCATCAAGGGGCGAAAGATGGGAAGCTCATATCTTAAAAAACGAACATACAAAACTATACTCTTGTTGAACCCATTTGCGATGGTAACACCCCTTTTCTGCTGCTTTCTGCCCTTTATTTAACACAGTCCAATCTGTGTTACATTCAAAGATGTCATTTAATATTTAATATACCAGAAATATATTTTTGGTGTTCTTATAACAGTACTGTAAGTGGTATAAATGTCTGTTCCAATTAAAAATATCTCTCATAGACATTTAAACTACGTTGTTGTGCAAAACAGAACAGTTTTGCTTACTACAGCTTTTTTTTTTCCCCTGTATGTCCTACCAGGCTCATATAGGAAATATATTAAAATCCAAATTTATTGGCTACAAGGATTTTGATACATTAATGTATACCTGTGCTGCAGAGTTTGACTTCATGGAAAAAGAGGTAATTTGATCAAAATAGATGATTGTAGAAGAGGGAACTTTTAGTTTTGTCCAAATTTATAACTTAAAACATCTGAGAGCCATAACCTGCTACTGCCATCATGCATTCAAGTGCTTACTCATGAAGTTAGAGATATTAATGAACTTAAGCTAAATGTAACTAGGTTTATTGCTTTTAAATGAACTAAAAACAAAACAGTGTTTTGATTTTTGGATCTAAGAAATGTGCTTGCATGGATGAAAGAAGGG